TTGGAAAGGTATGGTATTAGAGGTGTGGTGCTGAAATTGATAAAAAGTAATTTGTCCAATAGACGGCAATTTGTGGTCTGGGTGGGCATCAATCTGATTTTTTGGATATAGTATGTGGGGTCCCACAGGGGTCAGTTTTGGGCCCTAAACTTTTCATATTGTATATAAATGATATATGTCATGTTTCTGAATTATTGAACTTTGTATTATTTGCTGATGATACTACTGTATGGGCCTCTGGGGAAGACCTACAGCAACTTCTGGGTCTGATTACTCTGGTAGAAGGAATGCAGTGATTCGGGGCCGCGGGAATTTAACCAGTGTAGCTGTTTAGCTTAACACTTGAGTTGGGTTAATCATAGTTTGGATTATCAGGGGTAGAACTAGATAAGTATTACTTCTTTCTACTCCTTTGCAAGCATGTAATGATCATTTATCATCATGAGACTTTTTTTTTTCCTCTTTTCTTTTTTGGGTTTTCTCTGGTTGTTTTGAGGTATATATTGATTACGATTTCTTTTCCCTTATCTGTTTTATTATATGCTTGGAATTAATAAATAATAAAAATAAAAATAAAAACTGTCTGAACTTCAAATACAGGTCTATGTTCTTATGCAAACCACACAGACAGCTTCTAAATAGCAGAAAATGTATATTCACCCTAATGAACTTCTGATTTGGATACCAAAGGTTTGTGGTGTTTTTAAAAATGTACTTTAAATAAAAAGTAAAGTGTTTACATTGGGAGCAGGAACTGTAGTTCCTGTCTATGATTCTGTCTACTGCTGATCGATTAAACCTGATGATACGTGTTCTTTTTTTGCTGTGAGGCCAATTTTAATTAGCACAAGGGCAGGACTACAGCTAATGATGACTTCACAATGAATTCATCTGCCAGCTATTCTCACAACTGTTTCATCTAAAAATGTCTGAAAATACAGAAAAATATTCATCCCTGTTTCTCCAAGATGAAGATGACAGCTTCAAATAGCTAATTTTGTCCAAACGACAGTCTAAACCCCAAAGATAAGCAGTTGATAAAGATGTAAAGCTGAGAAAACTGGAAAATATTTTTGCATCTTTTCCGCATTTTTACTTACTCATAGAAAATAGGTGCCAATAACCTTTCTGTCAATCTTTTAATTGCTGCAGCTCCACTTGGTCTTAGTTAGGACAAAAAGTGCTGACTCTGATGATCTTCCTTTTGTTTTATTTGGCATCAACGTTTTAATTTGCCCAGATCTTTGGTTTATGAACAGTACTTACAAAACTAACTTTTCCATCAGCCTCAGATGCACTGTCTTTCATGCTAACATTAGCACACATATCAGTACACCAGCATGCCAATGTTAGCATTTAGCTAAAACTAGTGTTGAGGCCAACAGGTAGAGAAACTAACAGAAATGCTTGGTCTGACTTAAATAAAATTAAAAAAAAAACCTGGTTTCAGCTCAGCTCACAGATTACAACATGTTATACAAGCATTTCCTGTCTCTATCATCCCGTACTCTTTACAGAAAGCTGTTCTCTCTCACTGTATGAAAAATAGGTAAAATACAAAGAATGTGCATCTCAGGACTTTGACATATGAATGCTGATTTAAAACGGTTCCATGTTTTACTGAATTGGAGCTGAAGCAGAAAATTAAGTTAAAAGACACAACCATGATGCTGACCTGTTTCTCTCAGCTTTGAATTTAATTATCTTTCCAGAAATGTTGTAAGTGTGGACCATCACATGCATGTGAACCACCTGACTTGGCAATTATGTTAAGAACAGAAGAAATAATTAGACTTGGCTGTTTGTATGTTTTTACTTGTTTCTGACCCTATGACATGACAACGATCTGAATAATCATATCCCACACAGATGACTTGATACCTCTGCTGTGATGACAGCTATGTCAGACAGATCTGAAATACTGAGAAACACTGAACTACGTGAATACATCAGTGCTCTCTGGGAGAGAAGCCTCTCAGACAAGTGATGGCGATACCAGAGGGTTCTCGCAGGGCCCTTCCATTACTAGACCTCAAGTGTGATATTGCTGAGGAGGAAGACAAAACTTTAGGAGGGGCTCTGATGGAGCAGTTTAGGACAGTTTTGGGATGGGTAGGGATGTCTACTGGGTCATCTGGGTTTCCATAGCCTGCCCGGCCCACTCTGGAGCCGCCTGACGAATCTTTTCTAGCAGGTTGTTGACTTGGAAACACAGAGACTGAATCTGTTTGTCCCAGGTAGGAAGGGGCTCCCGTGCTACCAGAGAGAGAAGGAGAAACAAAACAACAGAAGTTAGAACATGACGCATGTTTCCATTTCATATAGTCTGAACAACACATGTACATGTATGTGCTTTGTGTGTGACTGTAATGACAAGCCGTCCCTGTCCATAAGCAGCGAATGTGCTTTCGGCAGCTGCTTGTCAATCCTGAGTGAAGAGGTCGCCCCCTACTGGTTACTGACTCATATATCACAAAAATAAACACTACTAATATAACTTTACATCACAAATTAAAGCATCAGGTACAAACACTAATGTGTGTAAGAGGTGAAGGGGTCTGAATCCTGTCTGGAGCCACTGTATGTGAATTAGAAAACACAGTGGCTGTAATTACTTACTCTCAAAGTGTACAATGCCATCAATCTGGTCAATGAAGCCATTCATGCGTCCTTCAGTGATCATCTGGGAGGCGATCTTCTCAGCCTAAAGACAAAAACAGAACTAGGATCTCCACAATATGAAAAGCAAACAGCTAGACAAATTTGTGAAATATAAAGGACATTTACTACCAGCAGAATGTGTATTTATTTTGGATCCAACTAGCTTCTTTATTGAACAGAGAATGAATTTGGATGCTGTTTCACTTTTTAATCTAATCCTTGTCTCACCTTTGCAGGGGGGATTTCCAACAGCGCTCCTAGTTCTTCAAAAGTGATGTTGTTGTACAGTTTACTAGCAGAAAGTAGGTTGTGTTCAATCACAGCTCTGTCCAGGATGCTGGATCCTGGAACACGGGAGAGAGAGAGAGAGAACTATAAAACAGCAGACTGTTAACAAACCGTGCAATGCAGACAGCATCTCCAGTGCACTAATATAGTTTTGTGGGCACGACTCATGTTGCCGACCAGCAAAGCGGAGCACAGATGGTGACAAACAGGAAGCTTTAACCCCATCGTTAACCCAACAACTTTAAAAGCTGTATGACAACTCACCATCTGCTGTGGTGGCTTTCTGGTGAGGCATCAGCATGGCAGCAAACTCCTGCAGCTGGTTTCCTCTGATGATACGGTCCAGGTACATCTTCTCCAGGATACCATAGGCAGCCAGCTGCTGACAGCGCTCATCCTTAAATAGGGTGGCCAGCATACGGGAACGCTGCTGGCCTACAACAAAAGACACAGTGTTTTTGGTATGATGCATGTAACAAGATAATTATTAGAAGTTTTTCATTTACATTCATTTTGAAAACCTAAACACACAAGTCCTAGTGCTACCTGCAGAAGCCAGTATGGTGCAGTTAAGAGCATGTTTCAGTGCCTCCAGACGTTCACTCTCATGTACAATTGATTTATAGGACAGCTCGTTGTATCTTTGAGCAGCTTCAATGAACTTCCTCCTGAAGTCCAGGACCCGTGCATAACACACCTGAGAAAAAAGACAGCGTGAAGCACTTATCCAAGCAGCTGCAGATGGAACAGTTGATTAAATTAACATTGTTTTGAATTGCAAAAGCAACAGTAATGCAGACACAAGCTGTGGCCATGAGCTCATTATGGATTGTGTACCTTATAGTGTATCTGCAACTGTTCGTTAGAGGACTCATTCTGAAGCAACGAGGCCCTGTTGATGTAGGCCTCTGCCTGCACTGGATCATCATCTTCTAAGTAGAGACGGGCGATTTTCAGGTATGTGTCCAATTTATAGTCAACATTGTATTGCCTAGGGGGACAAAAGGTATTAAGAGACATGGGAATATCACGAACGGCCGTGAAATAAATGTGCAAACAGTGTACTTACTTCTGTCCTGTTTCTAGAGGTATTCCAACTAAAACTTGCGCTGCGTTTCTCCAGTCCCCCTCCTTTTCATAAATGGTTGCTAAGTGCTGTCTGATTGAAGCTACCTGAAGACATGTAAGAACATTATTCAATTATACATCACAACAATTATGCTTAACTTTACTCACTGGGCTGTGAGAGAGTGTGAGGGCATTCACCTGCTCCTCAAATGATATGACCCTTGGCTGAATCTTTTCCAAGGTGAAGTGATACACCGCTTTGGCCGTGGCATCGGGCAAGTTGGGCAGATGTGTGCAGAAATCAGTGAGTAGCTGTCTTGAGATGACAAGACTTACGTTTTCATTGACCACTGTAAAAGAAAGACCATGGTAAGATATCCTGTTTATGTCCAACGTTTGTAGAAAATGCTCATCACATAAAAGAATGAAGGCCCAGCATACTTGCTTCAACAAAGGCCTTCAAGGAATCCAGCTGATCTGCATCTGTAAACTGAATGGCCTTCTCCAAAATCTGTCGATATCTGCCAAAGGTTTAACAAGGTAGAAACCACGTTTTAGTGCAACTGATAAACAAAAATGTAGAAAACTGAGACTACAAACGGGATAATAAAGTGGCCTCATTAAGTATTCCGACCATTCTATTTTTTGATTTTTAATAAATCCGCAATAAAATTCTAACGTTAAACCAGGTCTCCACTTTCGCATTAGGAGATCTTGGATGTTACTGGTAGCTTTGCAGCTTTTATGTCGCTTGGAACTGTTTAAACGAGGATCTATACCGTTACGATAAAGGTCTTTGACAAGCACCTGGGTTTTATTTATCAGTTAACCTACCTGAATGTAACGTTATGGCTATACGGCTAGGTAGCTAACGTTAGCTTAGCTTGGACTGCTACCTAGCAATAGTGGTGTTAATGTCTAAATTTGGATACACGTATGGCTAAAGTAAGCAATCACAATGTTTTTATAATTAGCGTTACATACTTGGCAGCAAGATCTTTATGAGATCCACTTGAGTTCATCAGCTGTGCAAGTTCCTGTCTCACTTCGGTTGCCATTGTCGCTGCGAAGTGTCAACAACAGCAGTTTCCTCTGCCAAGAGGAGAGCGAGGCTTCCGGTCGGTCCCGCTCGGTTGGTCCTCCAACCAAAAGCATCTGCCTGCAGACAAGATGGCGGACATCAACAACGAATATCCTCCGTATAGAGGAAGTCACATGACATATCCTTATATTTCACACTGTGAACAAACCGTACGAAGACATTTTAAATTTATAATGTTAAAATAAATGCCGTTAAATAGTAAATTACAATTGTTTAGTTTTAATATAAGGTTAAAAATTTCTTTAAAAAAACAGAAAAAGGGTTTCTGACAAAAAATTTGCACTGACAAATAATACAGCCACACTTTGGTTTGACATGTACATAAGTCCTTAAATTTGACAAAATTATATATAAAAAAAAGTACTTATATTTTGCGTAGAGCTTTATTTATTTTCCACATAAAATCAGAATCAGAATCAGCTTTATTGGCCAGGTGTGATGGAAACACAAGGAATTTGACTCAGGTACATCGGCTCTCAATGTGCAAACAGTAAACCAGCATAAGGCTGTGTAACATAACAAAATAGCAGTATTAAAATCAGCAAACAGTGCAAACAATGCAGAAAAAGCAGTATAAACAAACAGTAAACAATGTAGACAACAATGGAATGTTCATTTAAAAGAGATAAATAGGGATAAAACAGAGTACTTAAGAACTAGAGACCTGTACAAGTCTGTATAATCTGTAAAAGGTATATTTACAGGTATTGCGCTGAGGGTTATTGTCCAGTCATACTGTCGTGGGTTAAGTGTTCATCAGAGCAACAGCCTGGGGAGAAAACTGTCCCTGTGCCTGGTTGTCCTAGTGCACAGTGACCTGTAACGCTGTCCAGAGGGAAGGAGTTCAAACAGATTGTGTTGAGGGTGTGAGGGGTCTACAGTGATCCTCTCCACCCTTCTATTGACCCGTGGGGTGTACAGGTCCTCCATGGAGGGCAGGTTCACACCAATGACCTTTTCTGCAGTCCTGACTGTCCGCTGAAGTCTGTACTTGTCCTGTTTGATTGCTGAGCCAAACCAGACAGTGATGGAGGTGCAGAGAACAGACTCGATGATTCCTCTGAAGAACTGTATCGGCAGCTCCCGGGGCAGGTCGAACTTCCTGAGCTGGCGCAGGAAGTACATCCTCTGCTGTAAAATATACTTTATGTAAATAAATGGCAACATATTGCTTATATTCTTGCAAGCTATATGCATGTACAGTTCATTCCAAACAGGTTTATTATGGCATGCAGAGTCAGTGATATCTGGACATTCCACAAATGGTTTGTAGTTTGAGTTCTTAATATCTTCATACCCAATATGGCTTTCCATTAAGTGGAAAAACTTTGTAAACAGTGGCAAATTTTCTATATGTGACTGGGAAGTTGTAAGTCATCATTGTTGTAAGTATAGTTACAAAAGACCATCAATATTAAATAATTCAGACTCAATAATGAAACGATGAAGCTACAAATTTCTAAAGAATATGATTTTGTTGCAGGACAAAAGAAGTTAGTGATTTCAACTTTTTTGAGGAATAAAGTTGTGTATAAAATCTTTATGTCAGTAGTGCTTGCTGGTTAATTATAGAAAATTTTCACTGAATAAAAAACTTAAGGTACTCAGTTTGTCAAAAAATAATGTGGGGTGTAAAAAAATAATTGAAATGGAATTAATAAACAATTTTAATTCAGTACTGATTGAACATGGTTTGAGTCATAGCCCGTTAGGTTGTACTGTTTAGTTTTATCCTAATCACTTTGATTTAGTTTTCTTACTCTACTTTTATTCATTTTTAGTTTCCTAAATGGTATGGCATTCAGTACTAGGTGGGAGAGAAACTGTATTTCGACTTTCTGTATGCCCTGGACTTATAGTGAATTGACAATAAAACTATTTGATCTCGAGCTTGATCTTGTAGAAGTGCCCAGAACATCATTAAGGACACTTCACACCCAGGACACTGTTTGAACTACTACCATCAGGTAGACGGCTCAGAGCAATCAAATTAAGGACGACTAGATTCAAGAATAGTTTTTACCCAACAGCAGTTACCACACTCAATGCTGCTAAAATATAATATGCTTGTGTCTGACAGGGCTGTTGTTTATTTCATTTTTTAGCGGTTACATTTTTTATATGGTCTTATTTCATATGTTGTGTATTTTCTACTGCTGTACCGACTGGAGGTCACTAAAAATTTCGTTTTACGTTACAATGACAATAAAGGATTATCTTATCTTAAAAGGCTGTTCTGCACCTTTAAGAATTGCGTAGGGGTGACGTGGTGCGTAGAGGGTGTGGCTAGCATGTGAAATGTCAGGGTGGAATGGCGCTCGGCGCGGTATTTTGAACAATCGCTTTTTCCTTTCCTTGTTTTATCTGGAAACGTTACTTTACGTAAAAATCTCTGGTAAGCTTGACTACGTGTTGGCCCACTCTAAGGTTCATTACACTGTATTCAGTAGAAAGCCACACACTTAAGAAACTGTTTAATGTTGAGATATAATGTTGTGCTAGCTAGCTCGGGTTAGCAACAGCAAGTTTGCTAGTACAGTTGTCCTGCTCGCTGGGCTGCGGGCTTGATGATGCTGCCGTGATGGAGATGATGATAACGATGGTTCAGGGTAGAGACCAGTGAAAAGCACAGGGGCCAGGATATTCCGTGCAGCTCATCAATACAGTATTTACAATATTGTCTTCTGTGCTGAGACTAAGTTTGGTGTGCACTAATTGACAGGTAGTGCGCTAGGTTAATAGCGTCCGCAAATAAAAAGTAACTTAAACGCTAACGCATCTGAATACTTGTTTTTGAGTTTTTTTTATGGGACTTCTGTACGATAACTGCTCATTCTGTGTGTGCTGTCAAAATGATAAGAGCACACGTCAGCAGTTAACTTTGCTGTTGACATGCTACTTGTCTGATATAAAATCATATCAGTTTTTTCAAGTTCGCAAACAGATCTCCTGTCTTTACTGGGTCAAAATAAGTCTTTACCTAACCATTACTAAAATGTCATTAATTATTTGGTTAGGCCATGCTAACTTGAATCATAACCCCAAAACACAGGCTTTACATGCCGTTTGGCAAATGTATAGTTTAACTGAGTAAGATGCATGACCAGGTTAAAATGTTACAACCCGAATGACAGTGACAGCAGGCATTATTGAAAGCTAGCATTGTTTACGTTTCCAGAGTCTGCTTAAATAGTTTGTTACTTGCTAATAGCACACAGTTACCATTAAATATCAACTTCAGCTCTTGTTTCTGTTCTCTTTTGCGGGGAATTGTTGCGGGCATGTGTGTTAGCCTAATATAAGTAATAGTAAAACGCATTCCCTCATCCTCCTGTGCTAAGTGTTAGCCGCAGAGCTAACTGAGTTGATGACGAGGTAAAAATGGCGGATCTTTCGAAATCCAACCCTGGCCTGAAATAGTAACGCAGCCAGCAAACAGCTTGTGGCTCTTTTTCCTCGCTCTTTGCCCCAACTGAGACCACTTCGGTGGTGGTTTGTGCAGAAATGAGAGCGTCTCAGCTCTGTTTCTCTTGGTCGCTTTCGGCCAGGAACGTGAAAATACACCTAGCAGTTAGCTGTGTGTGTTTTACGGGGTGGGTAGGGATCATATGTGTGTTACGCTGGATTAATGTTGAGTACAGCAGGACAAAGGTACGATCGGTGCGGCCTAGCTCACCTAGCACCAGCTCCCAACTAGTCAGAATTAACTCAAACGGGACTCGCGTACAGCTCTATATTTACTGAGTCGCATGTGATTACTGAAAACTCATTTACAGGAACCAGCCAGAGCTCGGTCGCTAGCTTATACTGCCTTTCTTGTTTGTTTACTTCTCCTGCAGAGCCCTTTGCAAGCAGACAGCATTATCGTCCAATTATGCACATTTATTAATTATGTGGAGCTACACATATACAATTAATTATTAAAAATAATAAATCTTGTTCAGTTTAATTTCATGTATTGAGTTCATGTAAAACCATGAACATATTCTGTGAGATTAAACTTACATATAGTCTTTGGCCTCTTTATTAGGTACACCTGCACAGTCTAATTCATTAAGGTCCAATCTATATTATTCAAAATGTTTTAGCAATACGGTCATTAGAGTCTGATAAATCTGCTGTGTCCATGTTTCGGATAATGTTCCTTTTTTAACAATTGTAATATACTTGGAAGGACATTTTACAGTTGAAAACTAAGCTTGTTACTACCCTCTGTCTTTGACATTTGTGTGAGGGGAAAAACATATTTACTAATACATTTATCTTTATTTTTGCCTGACTATAAGGGGCAACTGTGGTTCAGTGGGTAGAGCAGTCGTCTCCCCTCCAGAGGGTTGGAGGTTTGAATCGCAGTGCCTGCAGTCCACATGTCAAAGTGTCCTTGGGTAAGACACTGAACCCCCAAGTTGCCCCCAATGGTTAGAGCCATTGGTGTGAGTTGGCGCCGTAAAAGGCTGCCTCAGTTCTGTACCAGAAACAAATTTCTCGTGTGTGTAACATACTTGGCCAAATAAAGTGATTATCCTTATAATGACACCCAGTCACTCTACTGAGAGGTATGTCTAATATTCTGCTCCATACTTGTACAGTATGTAAATGGAGGACAAAATAACACCTCAGTATAATCTCATTTAGTACAGTCACCTTAATGATGACCACACATACGTATAATTGAATTTACCCTTTTCCAACAGTGTCACCAAAACTCAGTATAAACATCTTAAAGAAAGAATTTATGACAGAGCTCTTTTATTAATTTGCATTCAATTGCACAGGTGTGCCTAATAAAGTGGCTACTGAGTGTACTATGGGCACCATCTTGTTTAGCAGAATCTAGAAATATATTTTCCAGGCCATTCAACTACAGCTTGTTTCTTCAGTGAAAACCTGTGCATGTTTTTGACACATTTTACAATGAAAAGTTATTTTATTGTTCTTTCAGGGTAAACGGAGAGCTCAGACTTTGCAAATATGGATGTGGTGTCACCAGAGCTCAACAGCCTCCTTCCTGATGAGATTATGGATACTGAGGAAATAGAGGGCGTCCCTAATTCCCAACCCGACAGCACCATGGCCCCGTCGGAGCCCTGTGATGACACATCGGTCCCGATGGAGACGGATACACCCATGGCCTCAGAAGATCTGAGCCTGTGTTCAGATGCCTCTTCAACAGAACAGGCTTTGAGCAGCACTACCTCCACAGGCTCTGCACTTATCATCAGCTCTGGAAGTCAGACTCCTGCCTCAATTTGTAGTACCCCTTCATCCCTTCTTACCTTCAAGCCAGCCCTGGCTACTTCCACAGCCACCACCAAAACCACAGACAGCATGACTGGGACTACTGTTTCTACTAGTGGGTTACAGAAGCTCACAGCTCCTTTCACCATCTCTCCTGCAAACCACCAGATCATTCTCAACAAGGTGGCCTCATCTCAAGCCACAGAAGCAGCAAAGTCTGCAGGCACTCCAGCCCAGGTCATCAAGCAGGAAGGACAAAAACTGTTGGTTACAACAATAGGGAAGTCGGGGCAGCCTATAGTGCTGCAGTTACCCCACACAGGCAGCAAGCCTGGTATTTCACAGATATCAGGAGACACAAAGACTGCAGCGCCACAGTTTAAAGTGGTCACTATTGGTGGGAGGCCAGAGCTGAAGCCAGTGGCAGGGGGTGCTGGTAACCAGTTGACCACATTACAGGCCCAGCAGCTGAAGACTGTACAGGTAACACTGATTGATTTGTGTTAGAGTGCAGGATTTAAGTAGTTAAATGTTGATAGTTGACAGTTTAATATCGTGTGTGTTCAATAGTTTTCCGTATACCAGAGCTACACATAATCACTACTGCTAAGACTGCGCTTTATTGGCTATAAACCATTGTTGTAAACATAAACCTGGCTCTGTTGGATTGGAATGTGCTTTGCTGAATTAGCTCCCCTATAGCACATTTTAGTGTTTGGAAATAAGAGGAGTACAAAACACAGGTCAGTGTAATTCTTTGTTACAGAAACCTCCGCGAGGAAACCAGATCAGCAGCTTATTGTCTAGTTTTACTTTGTCTTACCTTTTGTCTAAAATATATTCTAAAATAGTCAGTGAATTTGTTGAGTTAAAAAGTTAAAGTGCGTATTTTGAAGCTGAAGCTGTCTTTTTGTTTTTAGACTTAGACTTTGTCCTTCAGGTACACAACAAGTGTACATACAATGAAATTTCATTGCATTGGTTCAGCACAATATTAAAATATACAACATAAAATAATATACAGCAATAGACTAGCTATGCATAAAAGTGGGTATGGTAATTGCAGATACTCATCGAGTTACTTTAGCAGTATGCCGAGTACAGTATAACATGCAGTATATTCCATAAGACCAAAAGAACAAGTTCAGCAGTGCAAGAGTGACTTGTAGTATTTGCAGTAATGCAAATAAAATGATCAATAGTATTAGCAATAGAGCAAATAGTCTGTAAATTTGTGAAGTGGCAGGCCAGTTGTTTAACCAGTATGTAAAAAGAACTTGTAGAGTTAACAGTAGAACAGTAGTGCAAAAATTGTTCATATCTAATAAATAATATCTAATAGAGAGCAGCATACTTCCAGACTATAAAGATCAGGATGTTCAAGTATGTCAGGTAAAAATACAGTAGCAATGCAGTGGGAGTGACTGTGTCCCAAATGCATAGGAGAGTAGTATTCCAGTAACGTATACTGAGGTTAGTAAAGAGTTGAGTATAATGTCCATTAAGAGTTCAGCAGTCTGATGACCTGGGGAAGTTGTTGACAGTCTAATAACCATGGCTGAAGGGTGTGACCTGCACCGTTAGTTTGCAAAAGCTTCCTTTGACAAAACACAAATATTTATACCTTGATGCACACATGCACAAAACTGTACAACTAGAAAATAATATTTAGAGCATATACTGTATTAGCAAATATGAAAATATGTTAAATCATTTTAAATTAATACATCGAGTCAGTTAACGTCAATACCTCGCTTTTCCTATGCCCTACTTTTTGTACAAACAAACTCAATTATGTCAGGATTCTAACATTCATCAACGGCAGTGTTTGGATGAAAGAAAACAACATTTATCATAGCATTTAGTATGTTATAAATGTGCAAAAGGAACACACATTAACTTTGAGTGTCTCCACAGATTGCTAAGAAAACCCCGACATCCTCAGCTGCACCAGTCAAGCTCATCATCACAAAAACTGTCAACAGCAAAGGCCTGAGTCCTCAGACATCAAGTCCTCCTGTTATCGCAGGTACTTTTGTTTACATCATTACTGTCCTTATTATATTCACTTCTACGTATTGAAGTGTCTCAAATCTTATGGCATCTGTTGATAGGACGGGTCCTGCCACAGACTTCCCCTGTGTTACCCCTGAGGACTATTACTCTCTCAGACCCCCACAACACTAGTATACAAAGTATCCCTGGCAAAAAGATCGCTATTTCCCCTCTAAAGACTCCCAGCAAGGTAAATTCTACAAACTCACAGATGATGTTGTTTGTGTTAGGTGTCGCATCAGTCAGTATTTATGTGACAGACCGATCACGCTGCACTTGTGTTCATCTGCCAGGTGACCGTAGTTTCTGTTGCTTCCCCGACCTCCAACGCCTCTCAGAAGTCAGTAGCGCTGCCTGTCAATGTAGCACTTGGTCAGCAGATCCTCACAGTCCAGCAGTCCACATCTGGATCGCCAGTCAAGTTGGCTACCAGCCAGACCACAGCACAGGTGAGATCCAAGCATAGAGCTGGGCGCTGTCTGTTGTCAGCTGGTGTCACTAACAGTGAGGTGTGTGGGGGACACTGTGTAGTTCACAGCTTCTCCTGCTGCTGCGTCACTGAAGACACAGTCCATCACAATGTCCCCGAGCCACCGAGTGGCCTCATCACTTTGCTGGTTTTACTCTGAACAGTACTAAACCTTGAGATAGTCAATTTACATCTGCTGCTTTCCGTCTTCTCTGGCAACACTTTAAATGTCCTTGTGTCTACTATGATACTGCAACCTATTTGAAAAGGCTTTTCAAATAAGTTGAAGTTAATAATAAGACATCACTGCAAACAGCTGATGTCGACAGTTTGATGTGCAGGACTTGTTATGGCTGCCTGGTTGTCCTGTCATAGGTCGGTGGGGCTTTTTATAACGGCTGTGGCCAACAACAAAGATTGTTACCTAGCCTATGAGAAGTGTTAGGCTTTTAAGTGGACATGTGCCTTGAAGGTCTGTTATTAATTTGGTCCTTCTGTCACTTGGCGTTAAAGTTTTGTCTCTTGTTTTATTTGAACATTTTTAGAATATTAAACCGGTGCAGTCTGTGACAGTGGGAGGAGTTGGTGTCTCCCAGTTTAAGACCATCATCCCGCTGGCCACCCAGTCGAATGTGCAGCAGATTCAGGTGCCAGGAAGCAAGTTCCACTACGTCCGCCTTGTCACAGCCACCACAGCGAGCAGCACCGGACAGCCCAGTGGTCTCAGCACCAGCTCCATACAGACAGGTGACTTACAAACAGAGCTTGTCATCCTTTCTCTGATTGCACACTCAGCAGAAGCTCTGTGGTAACTTGCGATGCTTATTGTCCCACAGCAAAACCTATGGTGGTCAGCTCAGGGCCGGTCAGGATGTCCGTCCCAGTCATCCCAGCACAGACCATGAAACAGGTGACTTTGGTTTTTCTGTCCACAAACAGAGCTTTCTGTGAAACGCCCCCTGAGCTACATTCACCGACTGTGTTCCCTGCAGGTGGCACCTAAACCCTTAACATCAGCAGCACAAGTAGTAACCACCACTCAGACCCAGCAACGCCTCATCATGCCGGCAACTCCACTACCCCAGATCCAGCCCAACTTCACCAACCTCCCTCCGGGCACCGTCCTGACACCAGCTCCCGGAGGCGGGAACGTGGGCTATGCAGTGGTGCCAGCGCAGTATGTCACACAGGTCAGCGGTGTTTCTGATGTGCTGTGTCAGTGGTGTTTTATTTGCTGCTCTTTGATATTGAGTGTTTCCTATCCTCCTGTAGCTGCAGCAGTCGCCGTTTGTGACCCTCGCCAGCAGCCCTGGTTTCTCTGCATCGTCTGCGATCCAGGCACAGTCCAGATTGCCCCTTAATGGGTATGGAGGAACATGACTCTTTATTTACGGTGTTCACAGACAAATAACTTTTACCTTGTTTTAAAATCTGGGTTTACCAGAGTGGAAAATTGAACCTAGGTGACACCACCTTGAAACCATTTTGGCTACTTGAGAAGCTGGCATAATATATTTCATTTTAAATAAAGTTTTACATTTTGTATGTTTGCACAAAACTAACAAACCCAAGTGGAAATGGGGCCTCTCTAATCTCAAATGAGACAGTATACTTTTGATTGACTATATCTGTTCAGATTATTATTAAAACTGTGTTTACCAAGCTGCAACAAATGAAAGTAATCAGTGACTTATTGCATTACAAAATACCTGTTCTTTAGAAACGCCACATGTGGGGCAAATTACAGATATAGACCTCGTATATACTGTAACTACATTACACTTAATAAACATCCTTGGTTTGAGCCCAGCCAGGGACTTTTGCTGCTCGTCATCTGTCTCTGTCGTCTCACATTTCCTGTTTGCCTCTCCACCATATACGAACAAATATTACTTAATGCTACCTGCTCAAAAATACTAAATCTGGTAAAGTACGACTACTGAAAACACAACATATTGTACTACTTTAAGATTGACACTGAGGATTGTTGCAAACTGGAATCGCTGATTGATTGTGCGTCCTTTTCATGTTAATCTAAACAATATCGTTCACAGCTTGTCAACAGCAGACACAACCTCAAGACCAAGGAAACCGTGCAACTGCACCAAGTCACAGTGTCTCAAACTGTAAGTGTGACTGTCACTGAGCCTGGTTTGTGTCTGTAGATGAATCTAGACCACTTCAATCTGTGTACATTTTTTAAGTTCTTTCACCTGAACTTTTTTCCATTCATGATATTCACCTGAATGATTTTGAGTTTTGAACTGTCAGACAAAATAAGCAATTTGAAGATTCCATCTTAGGCTTTAGAAAATTGTGAAATGCATTCTTTAATGTTTTCTGATATTTTATGGACCAAAGGATAACTAGTTAACTACAAAATAATCAACAGATTAACGAATAACAATATTAGTTGCAGCCATATTTCTAATTATCAAACTAATGATCTCACAAGATGTCCATCCACCTAGCACTGGGATATAGGCTGCTCACTCTCAGCCTTAGTTTTATTAAGTAGAGCTCTGTTTTTCTCCCCATAGATACTGCGACTGCTTTGCAAATGGAGAATTCTGCAATAATTGCAACTGCAATAACTGCTTCAATAACCTGGAACATGAAACTGAGCGTCTCAAAGCTATAAAGGTCAGGCGGAAGTTTGAGAGTTGTGTTATTGGACTGAGCTACTTCGTGTCAGACAGATGAACCAAGGTAGTTGTGTATTTTCACAGACGTGCCTGGACCGAAACCCAGAGGCCTTCAAACCTAAAATTGGTAAAGGCAAAGAGGGTGAGTCAGACCGTCGACACAGCAAAGGCTGCAACTGCAAACGATCAGGCTGCCTGAAGAACTACTGCGAGTGCTATGAGGTGGGTTTCCCTTACTGCCTTGTTCACAGTGTTTCTTTTTTATTCTGTCTCACCTCATGTCAACTTAATAGTTGGTTGCTTCCATTCATATATTTCCTTTGTTTCATCTTGAAGGCAAAGATCATGTGCTCGTCCATTTGTAAGTGTATCGGCTGCAAGAACTTTGAGGAGAGCCCGGAGAGGAAGACGCTGATGCACTTGGCCGATGCAGCAGAAGTGAGAGTGCAGCAGCAGACTGCGGCCAAAACCAAGCTGTCCTCGCAGATCTCAGACCTGCTCATGCGGACGACACCTGTTAACTCAAGTGGCGGTGGGAGGTACTCTTAACACTCTTCTCTTTGACAACAGCGAGCTACAGGAGCATTGTGGGAAGAATATTCCAATATAATAATGAGTTGGGGTTCTGTTATGGGTCAGTCCAGTGACTCGCAGCTCTGTGATTCTTAGACTCACTGTGACTGTGATTTTGAACGATATCAGTGTATGAAATCACAGTTAATAGTAATGCTAATTGAAAGACAAGATGCAGTGTAGGCCACAAACATTAAAGGCAGCTGTGTTGACATTTACATCTGCCTGGACAGTTCAGACACTGGTGCTGAGATTAGCTCATTTGTTTTTATTGATGTAAGTTTTATCAGTTTAAATTTAAATATACAACTCAGTAGAGTGAATGACCTCTGAAGCAGCTGTACTTTTATTCCCAGTCACAGCACTGGGCAGCCGCCCTACACTGAACTCCTGTAATGGCATACATGAGCCTCATGCATACAAAACTTATTTTAATGCATTTAATTATTTTGTCATGCAGCAAGATTAGATTTCTCCAGCCAGAGTCCGGTCAGAGTTCAGTTATAAATCCTAACACCATGGAGCATCTGTCCTGT